TGAACTTTCGGGCCATGATACACGTTAATTCATATATTGGTACTGACTGAAGTTTGAATAGATTTCCTTTTAATGCAATATTTAATAGAAAGAAAAAGTGTGTTATAAGAGTGGCAGTCAATCCCTCAGCATGAATGGTGGCTGGTAGGTTGCTGCTAACTGACTCTCTTTCTCTGGTCAGTATTAGGGAGGGGGTGGCAGATAGTCTTAGTAGCTTGCCATAAATACAAAATACAAGCAACATGTAAAATATAAAAGGACGTAACGTAACAACAACTCCAACCAGGCTAGGCGGCGCCAGTCGAAAAAATTTGCAATTGGAAATGTTTACGGTCTAATGAACTACCACGAGTATCAAAAAAAAGTTTCTATATTGATCTCCAACAGTTTCCTAGAAGCTCAATGACAGTAATGACAGTAGTTCTGAAAAGTGAACAGTAACTTCAAACAGTGGCTCTCTAAACCTGGAGAAAGACGCACTACATAAAACGTTACGATCCGGAACGTCCAAGTGTCAGTATAAAGACACATTTGTGTCTACGAGGGTTCATTCACATGTTACTTAATTAATTATATCGATTCAAAACATTTTTTAACTTGATTAGGACTAACTTCTCTACATCATAGTTTCTCGTACATGTCCTTAAGTAGCAAAATCGTGCTTATAATATTAGATCCCGCCACACACCTAAATTAAGCTGCCTGTCGGCAAAGCGTGAGTCACGTGGCTCCAAAATAAGCGGTAACAGCTGTATCTACTTGTTCATACTCTGAGAAGTTATATAAACAGTATATTTGTTCTGCTTATCAACAACAGCTCACTATTTGTTTATCACTAAAATCCATTATGGACTTTAAGCTGAAAAAAAAAATTAAACCGGCATCGTTGTCATGACAAATAAATAATTTTTTGTTGTTTATTTCCAAATCCAGAACTCTATCACAGAGTCAACTGTAGATATAAATAATATGGAGTGTTTGATGTAGGAAATATTAAAATTTAGAAAAATACAATCCAACAATAATTTTAACATTTTATTAAAAGGTAATCCATTCAAAGTTTGGTAACAGGATTTAAGGGTCATATATATATATATAACTTCTTGTGTAAGATCCATTCCTTTTTTTTCATAATTTGTAATCAGAGAAAGGTTTGACTGAAACTCGTACTTCTGCTTCTTAGGACTATCCTACTAGTGTGGAATCTTCATGAAGAATAGGTTTAATATGGTTTTTATATTTTAACCCATTGTGTTTGATAAGCCTAAGAGTGTTGATCACGTTAGCTGAAAGAACATTGCACATAGTAATAACATAAGTGTGATAGAATACCACAGTATGGCTGACAATAATTTAAATCATATCAATATTAACTGGCCCAAGTATAGGTGTGTAGCAAGAACAGTGTATTATAATTTAAATCATATCAATATTAACTGGCCCAAATATAGGTGTGTAGCAAGAACAGTGTATAATAATTTAAATCATATCAATATTAACTGGCCCAAGTATAGGGTGTGTAGCAAGAACAGTGTATAATAATTTAAATCATATCAATATTAACTGGCCCAAGTATATGTGTGTAGCAAGAACAGTGTATAATAATTTAAATCATATCAATATTAACTGGCCCAAGTATATATGTGTAGCAAGAACTGTGTACAAATATAATAACAGGATTTCAAGTAATCTTTATCTGTTGTGAGCTGTTGTCGATGTGGTATTTCTTCCAATATTAGAACTCACCAGTCCAGTTGAGTTATAACATTTGTTGTTGTTACAGAGCTTTAGTATTTAACCCATAATTAATATAATAACACCGAGTCCTGCTGCTACGATATAAAACACTAACCCGTAGTGAATATAACACACAGTCTCTTTATGGTATAATCCGATATCCCTTGATAAGTATAATAACACTGAGACTACTTAAACCACTAACCTGTCTGTAATGACATACAACACAGACTCGCTACGATATTAATTAATCGCTAACCAGTAATGATATACAGCACATAGACTCACTAAGACGCAAACCACTAACTTGTAATGATATACAGCACACAGACTCACTAAGACGTAAACCACTAAACTGTAATAATATACAGCACATTGACTCACTACGATGTGAACCATTAACCTGTAATGATATACAGCACACAGACTCGCTACAATAATAATTCATTGCTAAACTGTAGTGGTATACAGCACACAGACTCGCTACAATAATAATTCATTGCTAAACTGTAGTGGTATACAGCACACAGACTCGCTACAATGTTAATTAACAGCTAAACTGTATTGATATACAGCACACAGACTCGCTACGATATTAATTAACTGCTACACTATAATGATATACAGCATACAGACTCGCTACGATATTAATTAACTGCTACACTATAATGATATACAGCACACAGACTCGCTACGATATTAATTAACTGCTAAACTGTATTGATATACAGCACACAGACTCGCTACGATATTAATTAACTGCTAAACTGTATTGATATACAGCACACAGATTCGCTACGATATTAATTAACTGCTAAACTGTATTAATATACAGCACACAGACTCGCTACGATATTAATTAACTGCTA